TCCTTGTTGGCCCTGCCCCGGGCGATCAAGTCGATCTGCTGCTCCACGTGCGCACGAACCTAATAACGGAAGCCAACGGAAAACAGTCAAGGGAAAAACTGAAACCAAGGGAAGTAACGAAGGACAGCGGGAAAGATGACTTCCCTTCGACATCCCTGTTCAACTCCTCGCCGCTACCATTGATTCATGACCTGAACAGGATCAATACTGATGATGACGTCCTGCGAATTGGCCCGGCCCGGGCCCCCGACGCCGGCCCTAAGCCAGGTAGCAGTCGCGATGATGGATGGCCACTCCTAGCTGCCGACGCATCCGTCTGAAGCAGCTTCAGCCCCATCTGAGTCCCTCCTCCTTTCCTTCTGTTACGCTCCTACACTCTCCACTCCTCCCCCAAACCCCTAAGCCTCCCCCTTAACCCCCGAGACCTCACACATCGAAACCCCGGCAGGTTGTCCTCCTCCCCGCCCCTCCCCTCCCGCCCCCACCTGCGGCTTACACAGCTCCGGATCAATGAGCTGGTAGCCCCGGATCAGGGTGATGCCCAGCTCCGTGGGCACCACCCGCCTGCCCGACTGGATCTGATAAACACGAGGGGGGTGGGGGGTGGGGGGTGGGGAGTGGGTCCAGGGGGGGTCGAAGGGGGGCCACACTGATGAGATGCGGAAATGAGGGGGAGAGATGCACGGCGTGTTTAGGTAGTTGTGGACAAGATACTCAGACAACGGTCAGGTGTACTGCTGGGGGGTGGTGATGGTGGTGGCGGTGATGGTGGTGGTGGTGGTGGTGGTAGTGGTGGTGGTGCTGGTGGTGACCCGTAATCCCGCTGTGATGGCCCGGTGGGTGAGTGGGTGGGTGGGTGGTAGTGGACGAGAGGAGACCACCACCACCGGAGGGATGAGAGGTACCGCTCACGTAAGTAACACAACCGTAAACACACACAAAGAAACACAGGCACAACTACAGAGACAGCACTCGCGAGTGGTTTAGACAGAGGGAGAGAGAGAGGAAAGAAAGGAAGAAGTATTTCTTCAGTTGGAGACCCACGCGTGACCGCGTGACTGGCCCCGTCCTCACTCACGGGCCAGCGGCGGTCTTCTTCCAGGACGTGACCAAGGAAACACTCCCACTCGCCGGGCGATCCCCTCTACCCGCCCCCAATCTCACCGTCACATAATTTCGCTCGCATATGTTGTTGATGTGTACGGGAATGGAGGCGTCCGTACCGATGCCGTGTTTCTCCATGAGGCCGATCAGGTCCGACTCCGTCAGGTAGTCCGGTGGGGAGGTGCGGCCCTGAACGTGTGCGGCAACCAGGGTTTGTGTGGGGGCGCCGACCCGGGTTGAGCGGAGGGGGAAGGGAAGGGGGAGAACCATATGGCGGGGAAGGGTAACGGAACGGCAAAAGAGAAAGTGCGTCGAAAACCTCAACACCAAGCCAGCGCGTCTTTCCCGCCTTTTTCCTTTTCCTCGGCAACACCCGTAACCTCCAACCTCTATACCTGATATAGCTCCAGGTCACTCAGGGGCAGATACTCTCCCGGGGTGAGGGGCGGCAGGGGCTCGGATTGGGTGGCCTGGGGGGCGAGCGGGGCGAGGGGGCAGGAAGTGGGGAAGGGGGGGGGCCCTGGGGGAGAGGTGAAGGGAGGGAAGTGGGGGAGAGTACCACCGACATTCCACTCCCAGGAGGCAGACCGCAGCTACTGGTAGAAAGTATCTTTGGTCGCCCCCCTTAATTAGTGCATAGGTACAGCAAGTCTTCATAAGAAGAGAAAGGAAAGAAATAAATCTAGAAGGAAAGAAGATAGAGGAAAAGGAGGTTTGGCACCGGGGGGTTCGGTAAGATACTACTTTGCGATGGAAGAGAGTTGGTCGTTTGGTGGTACGACGGTGTCAGGTTCAGTTTAGGTGAACGCTAAGCTATTGCACGAAACCAAGAAAAAGTCGAAGTGCAAAAAGATACATAATACGGTAAGTCACAGAAAGGAGACTGATGCAGTGTATATGTAGATATGAATCAGACCGCGAGGCACTACTGAAAAAGCTGATGATGTTGGAGAGCTTTGGGATGCGAGTCCATGTTGGAAGAAATGGATGGCGATGGCAATACTAGGCATCGTCTTTGCTGTTGGACGGCGATGGCCGGTGGAAGGGGTACGTGAACGTGTTGGCGGGGAGGTTGGGGTAGCCGACGGGGTTGGATGTACGGCAGGACGGACGCCAAAGACCACTGGAGAAGACATACGAATGACGAACTCCCACCCGCCCACCCAACCCCCTCCCTCGTCTTTTAACGCTTGCTCTTCTCCTCATTCGCGAAACCCCTCCCCCCTCCTCCGCCATCTCCCTCCCGAAACCCCTATACCCCAACATCATGTATGTTGTTGTTACATGACCCTCTAGGGGCCCTATCCCCCTAACACACACACAACCATACTCACCCTCCAAGGCATAATGGCCGTGAAACCCTGCCGTACAACCACACTGCCACTGGCGCTGAAGGTCTCACCATCTCCCTCGAACGTGGCCTTGGTCCTGGTAGGAGGTTGGGGGTGGTTAGGAAGTGGTTCGGAAGTGGTTAGAAGTGGTTCGGAGGTGGTTAGATATTGGATAGGGAGTGGTTAGAATTTATCTGTAAGGTAGGGGACATCTGCTGGCTGGGAAGACACATTTGGAAGCAGGGGGAACTGAACTTGGTACCCGCTTGTAAACTCGGGATGCCAACACACAGGACGCAATTTATTGGATTCCCGCGGGAAAGCACACATGAAGGAAGATAAACAGGAAGAAGGAAATTAGTAATGTCAAGTGCTGTGAGAACAACGACTACTACTAGGATGAAAAGGAGGATGATAGGTGCATGTAAATTTGCAACATATTGCTGTTCTTCTTTATCTGATTGTTTATTTTGCATCATCTTAACCTCGCGCCCGGGCCATACTTTCTGTAGACGGCGTCAGGCGATACGGAGCCAAGGAAGTGACGCGTCACGAAGTCGTACACCCGCCAGGCATCCCCCCCGCCCAGGTCGTCCTCCGTGGCGGCCCGTACCGGAGTGATGGGTGGGTGGTCGCCCACATCCGTACCCCCCTGAGCCAACAACGACAGCAACATTAACATAGTACGGCGAGGGGGGGGGTGTAAAGGGGATGTGAGGGGGAGTGCGGAAGGAGCAAGTTCGGGAGCAACGTCAAGTGCCAAACGCAGGAGGGGCTAATTACACAAACATATGCAAACAAACATACATACATACATACATACATACATACATACATACATACATACATACATACATACATACATACATACATACATACATACATACATACATACATACATACATACATACACACACGCTACGTTATCAATTACGACCATCATCACCACCTGCGGGAAGCCGCACAGGGCAGCAGCGACAGCAGCAATAGACCCCACCCCTTGCCCTCCCCTTAAAGCTCTCGTTTCCCGTTGCCTTCCTGGCCCCCCTCTCCCTCCTCCCCTTTCCCCCCCCCCCCACACACCTGTGGGTGCTTCACCCCCTGCTGCAGCAGAGCCGAAGCATACCCCCCGAATACGGGATGGTTCCGGAGGGCCGCCACAGTGCCGGTGATGTCAAAGTTGGGCGGGTAGGCGCTGCTCTCCGTACGGGGGTACGACAGGTAGCCGGCGGTGTACAGCCGCTCAGCGATCTGTACATCATTGCGGAGGCCCCCCATCCCGTCCCATTAGGCCAACACCACCTTCAATATCTCAAGTGCATTACATGGGGGCTGGGTGATGTGTGCATGCGGGGATAGACAGCAATCTAGATCACAGTCAAGAAGACACCCACCGGGGTTCGATTGTCTTTAAGGGTTTGTATCCCCTACCCCACCCCGTATCAACCCGGCCCCCCACCCCCACCCCCAGAATGCCTTTTGATCAGTTCTACTCCTGGTACACTCTTGCCCTGGCAGCAGCTTCACTCGTTCGTGGTTCGTCTTTCCCCCCCACCCCCACCCCCACCCCCTCCCCCTCTCCGACCCCGGCACCTGCATGGCGTGTGCGGGTCCCATACCCAGAGACGCGGAGGCCACCTGACTCCAGGGGGCCGAGGAGGTCCAGGGGGGCCGAGGTGGGGGTTCAGGGTCAGGAAAGGGTAAGAAGTTGGCGCAGGTAGCGGTGGAAGGGGGGGGCACAGCTGCTTCACGTGGAGGAGGACGAGGAGGGGGGAGAAGGGGAGGTGGGGGAGGGGAGGAGAAAGAGGAAGGGGAGGTGGGGGAGGAGAAGACGAGGTTGTTTTCCTCGCGGGCTCAGGTCATCAAAACACACGGACACGATCTTCCTCGATCTCCGACTCTACTTTCTAACCCTCAGACATGCGGGGTGTGCCTCTTCCCCTGCGTTTCGCCTCCGAAGCAGCTCATCCCCCCTGGACCTGCACCTGCACCTGCCCCTTTCCCTGCTCCGGCTGGCAAGGATGCACAACATGCACATGCGCGCGGTTTCTCGGTCCCATTCAGACAAGCACACACACATACAGAAATAGCCTCCTGCATCGCGCGAAACGCACGCCCGTGCTTCCCTCTACAACCCCCCTCCACCCGAAAACCCACTTTGAGCAGCTCCACCGTGTTCAGTCCATGCGGTCGCTGTTTCCTGTCCTCCTTCTCTACCACATCCACCACCCGCAGCCGCTTGGCCTCACGGACCAGGGACGCGAACAGCGCCCCCACGTCCTGGAAGGCGGGGCAGTGGGTGTGAGAGGTGGTGGGCGTGAGTGCGGGTGTGGAGAGTGATAGTGGTAGCGGGTGGGGGGATCGGGGAACATCATGGCATGGGAGGGGTTTGGGAGCCAACCGGGAAGGGCGATGCGCAAGTCAAATAGAACTAACTGCCCAACGATCTCCAAGGCACCCATTGCCCTGGGAATTAGCCTAAGGAAACGGCGCAAGGGAGGGGAGAAGGGAAGTGGGGGAAGGGTGCTAAGCAAAAGCACACACCTACTCAGGTTCCAAAGACCTCAACTGTTGGCAGTCCCACAGCCCCGTAGTGGGGGATTGGGGATTACAGGTGGGGTAGGGAGGGGGCTGCAAGGATGGAGGGGACACGGTAAGAAAGAACAAGCGGAGCGCCAGGGAGGGTGGCGACAGTGGGCTGGGCATGTGCGTGCGATAGGGTAAAGGATCCGCCCGATGGGAGGACCTAGGGGAAAGGGAAAGGGGAGGGGAGGCGGAAAGACGAACCACGAACGAGTGAAGCTGCTGCCAGGGCAAGAGTGTACCAGGAGTAGAACTGACCAAATGCCGTCCTTGAAGGCGGCGACCTCGGGATGACGTAGTGAAGAAGATGTCGGAAAAACTACCTACCTACCTAGCCGCCAAGACTAAAAAAGCTGAAGAAAGGCAGTAAGGCCAAGCCGTAAAGGTAGGTGTAGAGGCGGCGGAAAAGTAGTAAAAAAACTGCTGACGTGAAGCTGGAATAAAGTTTGCCGCCGGCCTGGCGGCGGCATTGACGAGGTTTGGCGAAGAACTGGCTGATTAGCTGGTGATAAAAAGCTGGTGGTATGCAAGTGCTCAAGGAGGGGGGAGGAGAACGGGAAGAAAAGGGAAATTAACCCCCAGGCCACCTGTTCCCCACCCCACGGCCCTAACGGGAGGAAGGGGGCTCCCTGGAGCCTGCCCCACATGCCATAAATGACCTCTCCAAGCCGGCCTGGACCTGAAACCCTAAAACCCTAAAACCGCACCGTACCGCGAATCCTCTGCCAAACAGCCGTACCTGGTCAAACACACGGCCCTTATCCCACTCCAGCTCCAGGGGTGTCCCCGCCTTGCTGGCACGTGGTCGTACGGACCAGAAGGGCTCCGGCTGGAAGGACACGATGGCCTGATCAGGAAACAGCATACAAACATACAACACACGCACACACATGTATGCATGGCCCCTCGGAGGAGTGCGAAGGGAGAGCAGAAGGCGTGAAATGTGAAGACAAGCAAGGATGCGGGGGGCAACAACCCCCCAACACCCCCCTGCCCAGCACCCCTACCCCCACAACCCCGACTGGCTAGTAGTTATGCTTTCTTTACTCTGCCGCAGCAGTCTTTCCTTGGCATCAGCTTCACTCGCTCGTGGTTCGTCTTTTTACCTCCGCACCCCCCACTCACCTGGTGTCTCTCCACACAGAAATTGAGAGTCGGCGTCTGACAGGGACCGTAGCTGATCACAGAAGCATCCAAATTGCCGTACCGACCCTGCAGCGGAGCAATGTGCACGGTGGAGAGCTACTGCCATGTACGGCGATACGTACGGCGCTAACTAACACCGGTGTACGATATGCTCAGGTCGCACCGTCCGGACGAAAGTCACGTACCACGCCACACGTCATTTCGTACCATACATCACACTCACATACCATGCCTCCTCTCCCGCCCTTAATTCGGCTGCCTCTCCCCCCCCCAAACACACAAATCAGCATCACACACATACACATATAATACACACGTCACGCGCCTGGAAGAACCTGGTTTGAAAGCGGGTGAATGACACCCCTACGCGGAGGTCCAGCTCCTGACGGGCATCCACTGCCAGGGCCTCAGCCTCATTGGGGAGCACCAGGTTGCTCTGAGGACCAGCAGGCGAAGGGGGGAGGGGGCGGGGGAGGGGGGAAAGACGAAAACCACGCGAGCGAGTGAAGCTGCTGCCAAGGAAAGAGTGCTGCGGCCGATGTACAGGACGGTAGCAGAACTGACCAGTCGGCGGTTGTGAAGAAGCAGTCCTCGGGATGATGTCGTGATGACGACAGGGGAAAACTACCTACCTAGCCGCCAAAACTAAAACAAGAGCGGAAGAAGAGCAGTAGAGCCAAGCCGTAAAATATTAAAGGTAGGTGTAAAGGCGGCGAAAAAGTAACAAAACCTGACGTGAGACGAGAACGGTGCTGACGTGAGCTGGAACAAAGTTTGTCGCCGGCCTGGCGGCGGCATTAAAGAGGCTGGAGCAAAACTAGTTGATAAGCTGGTAATAAACTGCTGGTGACATGCAAGTGCTCCTCCCAACCCCCAACACGCGCCCGACCCGACCGACCCGACTATCCTAGTCCGGCTAGCCGACCGACGCAACGCGATATACCGACAAAGCCCGACCCCCCTAGGACTCACCTGGCCAGGCAGCAGAAGTAGCGGGCAAAGGCACATGCGCGGAGGCAGAGGGGTGGCAAGGTTGTGAGCAGCAGGTGGGGGAAGGGAATTCATGGACAAAAGGACTAACCGGGGTTGGGTGGGAAAGGAAGTAGCCGGACGCTTCCGTTTTTGGGGGAAATGTGCGCGGGAAGGAAATCACGGGAAGGGCTGGTTGTGGCCGGGGGGCCCCATCCTGCTTGTCGCCGCATCGCACGTGCTGTGGTAGCAGCAGCATGATCCGTTGCTCTGTCCGCTAGCTCTGGATAGGAAAACAAGGCTCTACTTAGGATTTATCTGGTCGGGACTTTCTCTAGTTGGGGCATCGGGTACCCTCGTTATCTACAGCCAGTTCTAGCCGCCAACCACAACCCAGTCGCCAGCGCCACTGCAGCGCCTCCTCAGCCCATTTCCACAGGCTCTTGACATCACGCTTTTGTTCAATGCCGCTGGACAACGGAGCTCGCTTCCGTAAAGCTGTTCGCTGTTCGCTGTTCGCGCACCACCATCGGTATTTCCCTCGCCGCGGCTCAGAAGGTCATGCGGGTACATACACCATCCAGAGCGATGGTGTATCGCTGTCTACACCCGCAACGAACCTCTATTCCCCCAATCTCCCTCCACCGGCCCCACCATCGCCGCCCGGATCTCCGGTGCCGTAATGGCGGAGAAGCGAGCTCGGAGCACCGACTGCTGCTGCTGCTGGCCGCCCCCACCTCCACCTCCAGCTCCCAATCGCCGCGACATGTACGGCACCACGTTTTCCATCACCTGGGTCGGTCGGTGCGGTGTGGAGGGAAGGTGTTGTGGGGTCACTTAGCCACCATGCCAACGTGTGTGTATGTGTGTGTACGTGTGTGTATGTGTATGTGCATGTGTGTGCTGTGTGCTGTGGGGTTTGTGGTGAGGTGGAGGTAGGGGTTGGAGCGGCCCAACGAGTCAACTGCCCCCACGTCCCAAGCGCCAACTGTAGGAGTGTTGGTCAGGAAAGGGAGGAGGGAGCCATACGGCAACGAGATGACGGGGACCGCTCAGCCGTTGCTCAGGAGGGTTACGGCACTCGGTAACACCCCTCCCCTACCCGACGAACGCACCAGGGCCGCAGCGCCCCTTCCCCACTCTTTCCCCACTCTACATGCACTTTTCCCCTTACGCCCCCTGCCTCTCTTTCCGGCGCTCGTTGGACCAACACCTCCCAGCGCGTCCTCGTCGTGTCGCAACCGCTTTCCTGGGGGTACAGGTACACATTTCCTTGCCCAGCCCACACTCAGAAACTCAACTCAGTACCCCCCTCCCTCCCAATCACTCTTGTACACTCTTGCCCTGGCAGCAGCTTCACTCGTTCGCTCGGTTCGTCTTTCCCCTCCCTCCTAACCCCCCAACCCCCCACCTCGAAGCAGATGTTCTCCCCCTCCCTGTCGCAATCCAGCCACAACACCAACACGTCGCAGCCACGACCCTCCCGCTGCAGGTGCTCGCACACGTGGGCCTGATGCGGGGGGAGGGAGTGTCATGTGCAAGGAAATCAGAAATGAACTGCCGGAGGGAAGGGAGGAAAGAGGGGGGAAAGGTGGTGTGGTGTGGGGTTGGGGTTGGGAAACCCGCGGACATAGACACGGGCCCCACATGACGGAGTGAGTCTGCGGGCTGCAGCTACGCGCACATCTGTCGTCCAGCTCCTCATCCCCCGCGCACAGATACACAAACCTGAAACCAAACATCACCTACATAACGAGCTCCCAGTCGTGGACTGTTGGACCCTATTTCCCCCACTCTTTTCCCAATATATCGTAACGTGCACACAGACACACCGCTCGAAATCCCACCCTCGCTCCCTCCCCCCTCCCCCCCGCAGCCAACCTGACCTTGGGGTTTGCCTCCAGCTTCACGGTGGGTGCGTCGTACAGCTGAGCGGGATCCACTTTGTCCCAGCTGTTGAAGGCCGCCGTGAAGTCGATGGAGTACACGTGACCGATCACCTGTACAGCAGAGTGCAAAGTGGGTTTCGGAGCGGGGCGGACAAAACGCACGGAAACCGTCGGGCCACTACCACACCCCTCAGACCGTCGTTTCCTGCATCATTTTCTGCATCATGTAGCATCAACCCTGTGATCATAATAATCATTCAGTAAGTATCATCACACAACAAACCCACGACTCACTCATGCGTGACATTGGCCTTCAGACCGGTACACCAGACCGCGACGGCACGGCCCCAACCACCTGCCTGACATGCTATCGACATACATACATACTCGCGCGTTTCCTCTTGTTGCGCGGCTGAGTTCCATAACAGACGCACACACGCACATATCTCCTCTTCGCGGCTCGGTTTTACGAACGCAGAGACTCACCTACACATTAATACACACCCCTTGGCCATTACTTGACTACCTACCGTAATGGTCACCACGCGGCTATTGCAAATATCACTTACAGAAAAGAGATAAACGCACGCACCGTATGACACTCCCCCCCCCCCCCACTTACCGACGTCATTTTGAAGCGGGCAGGCTGTCCGCGGAAACGGCCCTCGAACTCATGCACATCCAGGGCAGCGCGCCGTGAGGACAGCTGTCATGCTCAGCTCCCACAGGCAGGGCAGCGAGGCATAACCAGGAAGACACGCAGACCGGAATATGTTATGACAGTGAGCGTGTGTGTGCATCGCGGCAAGGGAGCAGGGGGGATGCTGGAGAGGATAGGGGACGGGGAATTGGAAAAGCCCGAAATGTCTGGTGTTGCCGATATGTTAGCAGCACAGCCAAGGCTATGCCCCTACGTGTGCAACTCGATGGTGGCCAAGTCGTGTGTGAGCGCTGTATGTCGTGTGCAGGTGAATAAATGAGACAGAAATTAAGGGGGTCCGCGTATGGTTTGGGGGTGCCCGTCTTTGTGGCCCCGATGGGCTAAACCCCGAATCCCATTCCGGAACCCCCTCGGTCCTCTGACTTAAGCGCATACGCTGCAAGCTGATCCCAGGTGATCCTTATCATCTCACCCTTCCATCGGAAAGTATCTGTGCAATTGACTGTGCCAAAGATGGCTTCTCGGCGACCATGAACACGCTGAGCGCCATGGTTGGCAGGCGTGCGTAGAAGGCGAACTCTGAAGCTGCGAGTTCTGATAAAGAATGATTTGAAGCTAAGACCCGCTGCCCAGGAAAGCATCCATCGCAAATTTAGCAGTAACCAGTACGCGAAACCAACAAATTGCCGTGGTCAAACCATGATGCCAGCAAGGGCAGTAACAAAAAGGCCTGCATTTTACATTGTAATCACAAAGCGACAATAAAACGCATGTCTTCACACGCGAGTTGGCAAGAAGGGAGTTGTAAGTTAAAGTACGGCTCCTTCATGGCAACATAACGAGCTCGATGTAACACTCAGGTACGTGAGTGCATTCAATCCTTCCAATCACGGTTCTTAGGCATCAATCAGGAACTTCGCTAATATTGTTGACACCCCAAAACTGCGGATACTGTTTGATTTAGAGCTTCCTTACTGTTATACTAGTTTATACACATCGTAGTGTGCGGGACGTATACAGTGCATATTGTGGTCTGAGTCTGGGGGGCTTGGAGCTAGCGCGGACGAGGACGAATGATTGAGGTTGTTCTTAACGATCGCTTGGGGAAAAAGGTAGGAAATAGGCACGGGAGTTACGCGACCCTTCAGATAGCACGCCGTGGACGGGCTGCGATGGGTTGCGCTTCCAGAAACGTGTCATGCGGGACAAGCCCTTTGCACGTTCAGCGTGTCGATTGTAGACATGCATCCGACCGGACGCAACCTGGATTCTGCTGCTGGACATGTGATGAGTGCATACCTGACTGACGCATGCCGTCTAACCGTCAGTACCTGCATACACGCAACCCAGCGGTCATGCTCACTCCACCACGCTTCGCCCATCCCTTTTTTTCGCACAATAACCCCCGACCCCGACCCCACTCCCTTTCCTTTCCAATCCCCTCCCATCCGGGCCCCCCCTCTCTTTGCGCGCAAGCCAGGTTCGAGTCAAGTGCAACGAGGATGACACCATCGGGGACCTCAAAAAGCTGGTGGCGGCGCAAACAGGGACACGGCCCGATAAGATCCGCATCCAGAAGTGGTACACCATCTACAAGGACCACATCACACTAGCCGACTATGAGATCCACGACGGCATGGGTCTGGAGCTATACTATAACTGAGTGTTGACAAGGGACCGTTTCTTCCTTATCAGCGCATTGGACGTATCAAGATTTGCATGTCTGTAGGATTTTGCACTGCAGCCTTGACAGTGCTTGGAGGCTTTCCAAAGTGCAAACGTGGGCGGGTCGTTGCTGCCGGTTCTGGTTGGGTGTTGGCGTAATATGGAGGTGAGGGATCATGGACCAGCCAGCCCTGTGGATATATTGGGAAGTGTACATTTGGGATAGTGGGCCGACGGGGATGATGTTGGGCCGGCGGCAAGATGGAGCTGTGCATAGGAAGGGACGGACACAGCTCGCCCGGGTGGTGAGCTAGGTACAGTTTAGGCGGGTCCAGCCCGGAAGGCGGGCACCAACTTGTCGGGATGTGCTCCAGTCACATCGAGTAGCACCAGCACAACATCGGGACGGGACTGAGGTGGCATTGTCTGACGGCAGCATACATGTGTTGGTAGGGGGTGCGTTACAGCAGCGGCGGCAGGTAACCTGCTTGCATAGCCGTTGCCGGTTGATGGCTGGGGATATGGCAGGAGGCAATGAGGCTGGTTTGGGCAGCTGAGGTCCTCCGCGTGTACCCCTTGTCCCCGTTCCGGGGGAAGGCATGTCCTGTGCTCCCTCGTACCCCCGGGGGCCTTATCCGAGCCGTGTGCCAATGCAGGGCCCGGAGCCCATGTGCTTCGCCTACGTCAATCCGCGCCTAAGTCTGTTCGTTGGGCGGGGGTGCCGTTGCAGCTGCGGCTTGTGAACTTTCTGGAAAGCCGGGCGGTGCAGACGCACGTGTCTGGACCCTGTAGATCTTGACGTTTGGTAGCTTGGCAAGATGGGGACGGCTGAGAGGATGCCTTCTCGGCGGCGCTAGGGTGTATGGTGGCGTTGTGGGTAACTCGCGCGTCGCTACCCTGTTCGCAGGGGCGTGTCAGAGGCAAAGGGTTTGTCGTATGCCGTAAGCACAGGGAGCCAGTATGCTCATTGGAAGGGTAACACGAACAATGACATAACGGTACGGCATTGCGGGAATGATCTGCGATGTCGGTCTAGCAGCTGAGGTTAGTGCCTGCAGGCCCAATATGTCGCCTGAAGGCGGCTCTTGTGTGTGTATATTTGTGCGTGTGTCTGCGTGCCCCACTCTCGATGTACGTGCTGGTTTCACCCGATTTGGACATGGGTTTGAATGGATGCCTGTAAGCCATAGGCACCGAGGCCACGCTCGGCTCTTCCCTACATGCTTTCAGGCCACATTTGCTTCGGTGCTTGGAGCTGGGTGTCTTTCCTAGCTGTTTGCGATTTGCTGCTGCTCATATGGCGCTTTTGGCAGGCCGCCACACCAGTATAAGGAAAGACACCTCTTGACGGAAGATCCCACTGCGTTTTCTGTAATCAAATGGAAAAATGAAATGCTCAGCTGCCAACCTTCTATACGGAAGCCTGTCTCGGCATATGCTTGTGGTGTGCGTGAAAACGGATGGATGCACTACGTACAGTTTCATGATCATGTACTTCAAAGTGCTGCGCCACTCCTGATGGGACACGCGTGGAAGGCACGTGAAGATGAACAGTAATCGACCGGGTGGGCAGACATAAGCACGCGTCCCCGGCTCGCGTGGCAGGCGGCTGCCTGCGGGTGCGCAGGCGGTAAGTTAGCTGCTTCGGCTGGATGGGGCTCAAAAATACAGTAAAGAGATTTTGTACCCTTTTATTCTGTGTTTCACTTGTTGGCCACCTAGGTAGGAACGCCGTTAGGTTAAAGGGCACTGCCTTCGTGAGAGGTCTCGCGAAGCCCTGTCGCAACCCGTGCTTTTGTAACCGTTTGAAGCTGTAGCCCTTTAGCGGTCCGTTACGGTCCTTTCCTCCAAAACGAGTAGTCTTGGAAGAAAACTGTCAAGGAAGAAAAATCGCGCTTATTAGTCTCCTAAAAAAATAAAAGATAAATTATATATTTTGTTTTATTTATTGATGGTGCTTGCAGTTGCCTCAAGGCCGCTGAATATTTCCTCCTTTGGAGATAAAAAATTCCGGTCAACCTCATGGCTATTACTGCATACTTCAAGGATCAAATCGGGGTTCAATGATCTATATTTGAATTGGATTTCCGAAAACTGATTAGCTGCAAGGAGAAATGTACTGGCAACCGGCCGTCCTTCCGTTTCTTTCCTTCGACGGCAAAAGGCTGGCAAAAGAACATGTCCAAACCAGCGACAATTGCTATTGATTAAGTGCTCGTCCTGTAGTGCAGTACGGCAAGTGCGGCGCAGGGAGGCGCAGACCAGAACTGGCCAGAGGACAGGGACTGATACTGTAGTTCGTTACAAAGATTAGCGGAGAACAAAGCGCTAAATCCAGACAACACAAGTTCGCCAGTCAACCGTGCAAGCAAGTGCAAGTCAGAACGTCGTTTGTTGGGGAATAGGGATGTCAAAAATAACAATATACAATACATATGGACTCAGTTTGATAAGGAAGGAAATCAGTGAACACAGCGTTACTGGCACATCGGGCGTCAGTAACAGCGAAGAGATGGCCGAGCGGGATGAAGTGCGCGGCGGAGTCGGAGAAGGTCCGGAGGAGAACGAAGTAATGGCTATGACGAAGGCGATAAGAATGGCACGCGACGGAAACACTCAGAAGGGGACGTTGTGATTATCACCGGACTGCGCTCCTTATCCCGCGTTGTCTGAAAGCAGGCGCAGCCAGCTGCAACTAGGCCTACCCGGTTGCGTGTAAGAGGGAAAGGGGTGTCCCGGAACCGGCCGCAAAGGCTTGGCAGCTACGCATATTTTGCTGGGGAATGGGGTGATCCGGCTAGGAGGGGACGGCGCCGCGGCGGAGAGGTCATTGCTTTGAGGTTGAGCTCAACGTGGTTTATTATCACCACGGGTTACTGCCAGGTGCCCAGCTGGAGCCCACCGAAGCGCCCGGACCGCCTTGCGCTCATCGGGGAGCTACGCCCCGCAAAGGGTAGCAACTAGACTCAGGAAGCCTGCGCAATAACGAGTGCCCACGGCCGGTAGGCTTTACCCGGGTGATGATCTCAGGGAGAGAAACGCCCGCGTTGCGTTGTGCTGATCCGAAAGGCCAGCCCCAGGGGGTGCGCGGTGAAGTACCCAGGCTGCGTGGCCTTGGGCCGGTAGGCTTAGATGCGTTTAGCTGGAAGGCCAGCACCAGGACTGGGTTGCCTTAGGCCAGTAGCATAAGAAGAGTTTATCCGGAAGGCCAGCCCAGGGGGTATGCTCTCGCGCGGCGAAGCACCCAGGCTGAGTTGCCTTAGGCCGTTAGACTGGGTCGCGTTTGTCCGGAAGGCCAGCCCCAGCGGGTATGCTCTCGCGCGGCGAACCACCCAGGCTGAGTTGCCTTGGGCCGGTAGACTGGGTCGCGTTTATCCGGAAGGCCAGCCCCAGCGGGTATGCTCTCGCACGGCGAAGCACCCAGGCTGAGTTGCCTTGGGCCGGTAGACTGGGGTCAAGTTTATCCGGAAGGCCAGCCCCAGCGGGTATGCTCTCGCGCGGCGAAGCACCCAGGCTGAGTTGCCTTGGGCCGGTAGACTGGGTCGCGTTTATCCGGAAGGCCAGCCCCAGCGGGTTTGCTCTCGCACGGCGAAGCACCCAGGCTGAGTTGCCTTGGGCCGGTAGACTGGGGTCACGTTTATCCGGAAGGCCAGCCCCAGCGGGTATGCTCTCGCGCGGCGAAGCACCCAGGCTGAGTTGCCTTAGGCCGTTAGACTGGGTCGCGTTTGTCCGGAAGGCCAGCCCCAGCGGGTATGCTCTCGCGCGGCGAACCACCCAGGCTGAGTTGCCTTGGGCCGGTAGACTGGGTCGCGTTTATCCGGAAGGCCAGCCCCAGCGGGTATGCTCTCGCACGGCGAAGCACCCAGGCTGAGTTGCCTTGGGCCGGTAGACTGGGGTCAAGTTTATCCGGAAGGCCAGCCCCAGCGGGTATGCTCTCGCGCGGCGAAGCACCCAGGCTGAGTTGCCTTGGGCCGGTAGACTGGGTCGCGTTTATCCGGAAGGCCAGCCCCAGCGGGTTTGCTCTCGCACGGCGAAGCACCCAGGCTGAGTTGCCTTGGGCCGGTAGACTGGGGTCACGTTTATCCGGAAGGCCAGCCCCAGCGGGTATGCTCTCGCGCGGCGAAGCACCCAGGCTGAGTTGCCTTGGGCCGGTAGACTGGGTCGTGTTATTCACAAGGCCAGCCCAGCAGGTTTTGCTCTCGGACAGCGAAGCACCCAGGCGGAGCTGCCTTGGGCCGGTAGGTTGCGTTGCGTTTATCCGCAAGGCCAGCACCCGCAAGGTTTTGCTCTCGGACAGCGAAGCACCCAGGCGGAGCTGCCTTGGGCCGGTAGGTTGCGTTGCGTTTATTCACAAGGCCAGCCCAGCAGGTTTTGCGCTCGGACAGCGAAGCACCCAGGCGGAGCTGCCTTGGGCCGGTAGTTTGCGTTGTGTTTATTCACAAGGCCCGCACCCGCAAGGTTTTGCTCTCGGACAGCGAAGCACCCAGGCGGAGCTGCCTTGGGCCGGTAGGTTGCGTTGTGTTATCCGCAAGGCCAGCACCCGCAGGTTTTGCTCTCGGACAGCGAAGCACCCAGGCGGAGCTGCCTTGGGCCGGTAGTTTGCGTTGTGTTTTATCCACAAGGCCCGCACCAGCAGGTTTTGCTCTCGGACAGCGAAGCACCCAGGCGGAGCTGCCTTGGGCCGGTAGTTTGTGTTGCGTTTATCCGCAAGGCCAGCCCCAGGGGGGTATGCTCTCGCGCAGCGAAGCACCCAGGTTGAGTTGCTTTGGTCCGGTAGGTTGCGTTGGGTTTATCCGCAAGGCCCGCACCAGCAGGTTTGCTCTCGGACAGCGAAGCACCCAGGCGGAGCTGCCTTGGGCCGGTAGTTTGTGTTGCGTTTATCCGCAAGGCCAGCCCCAGGGGGTGTGCTCTCGCGCGGCGAAGCACCCAGGCTGAGTTGCCTTGGGCCAGGAGGATGGGTCGCATGTATCCGGAAGGCCAACCCCAGGGGTTACGCTC